GTTTATGTTTTATAAAGAGTACGATTATCATTATCCATTGTTGTGTACATAAAGTTTCAACCGAATATAGTGCAATAATAGGAAAGTAAAAGCTGTAAATGTAAACTAGTGTTTAACAACGATATTTGTGGCTACTATTAAAACTTTTCTGAATTGTATCATATAAAAGTTCTCCGCTTCCATGTAATTACAATATAAATCCCGTTTTAGAACTAAATGTTACTATTGTTAGCTATTTAATAATCCTGCAACTTTGTGGATACATAACGGAACAATGGATTGACTACAAAGTAGTATCTTTAATACTGACATTATAACATTTTTATTAAAGGAAAAGTTATGTTAATAAAAAAATATTTATAACGGATACAGATTTATATTAATTTTAACAATAAAATTAACAAAATATTCAATCATTCGATAAAATGTTTTTGTGGCTATTTTCAGAAATACTTATAGAAATAAGTAAAGAAAGTAATATATTTGATAATTACAGACGGATGAATGTAATTTTGACATAAGATATAAAAAATAATTTCTATAAAATGAAATGATCACGATGGCATTACGTATTAGTGAAAAAAAGATAGTACGCTGAATATGCAATAAGTTTTTAAATTAATTTAAAAATTTTGAAGACGTTATTTGATATGAGGTGTCCATTTTTTTGTAGCATAACTAAACTATTGTAAAACTAAAAGTTAAATAGTCAGTTATTCTGGTAAACAATTGCTGGTTAGAAGCAAGGTACGCTTTATATAGTTCAATGTAATATGTAACTTTTAGCTGTATTAAATAAAAGTAAGGTAAATGCAATCGTGATTTTTTTTTATTAATTTGAATGGCACATGGGACCTATGCAGTTCTAAAAGTATTTTAAAACTAATTGAAAAACTATAAATTCACTTTGTTTCGTGGAGACAAATTGTATGTAAGTCAAACAGAACTAGTAAAAACTTCTACCGCATTAAACCGCTTTTTTATTTCTTGAGAAATACAAATAAAAATGTACAAACTTTAATTTAATTCTTTTATGTAAATTCAATCAGATCGGAATACACGACAAATAACGCGGTTAAGTTACGAAAACGATTATTGTTTAAATAAAGCAAACTCCGTATTTCCTAGCGACCTCCTCATGTTACTGTTTATTTTGTAGAATTTATCTTTTAAATCACTGAACTAGTTTGAAGTTGTATTTTGTTCTGGCATATATATGTCGGAGTGTTTTCTAGTTGCAAAAAAAGGAATCGAAACAAATATATTTTAACCAAACATTTTTCTTTTTGTTTTCAAAAATTAAGATACTATTTCACAGCTTATTCCTCTACAATAGTTCCAAATAATTTATCAATAATATTTTTAATTAAAAAGATGACAAAAATGTTTTAGTTTTGGATCATCCAGAATGTTTTATGAGCACATGCCAAGTCCGAATGTATTTTTTTATACCAAATAAAAATATCGAAAGTAATAAAAATCAATCACAAAAGGAAAATTTTGGTTGACGATTCACAGCATTTCCCCGTTATTATAAACCACAATACTAGAATCATTTCAGATTTTAATTATCCCAATAAAATAATGATAAACCAAATATTTGTTTTGAAATGGTGCAAATGATATCTCTGGCTTTATGTTCGAAAGATCTGCATCTGCAGCAAATATTTTAAAATATTGATAAAGTTGTAACCAAAGCAATGCGAGAGGCTTTTAAGGCAACAACAATAATTCAATTTTACCAAATAATTGCACTACGCCTAATATTATTAATATAAAAATAAAAAAGTAAGAAAATACACACTTAAAATATTTCTCATTGAATGAGTCAAAGAAGCATTTTTGTGCATTTGCTAATATTAATTATGCTATGTAAATATTTATTGATTATTTGAAACAGCTTTGATTAATTATTTGTTTAGTCACCAGTAAAATGTAAAATAAGTTAAAAAAACAAAAACAAAAAAGCCACTGTGATCCAGTAAAAGGTAATATAAAGGAAAAGGCGTAAAAGAACCAACTTTGTGCATTATAATTAGTGTATCTCATTTAAATATTTTTAACTTTATTTGTGTCACTAAAAGCTTTAATATATAAAGTTTCAAATCTGAACCAAAATGTTTAAAGGACTAAAATTAAATATTTTTATATGGAATATTAAAACAAAATATTTTTATGTAACTATTGGTTGATGTAGAAAAATAACAAACATTATAATTCTCACATTCTACGTAATAATCAAATGTTTAAAACATAACTGAGCCGTAATGATACTTTGAAAAGATTTTTTTTTTGGGAATGGAGAATATTGTTAAATATATCGTTTTTCACACATATAAAGCATTCAATGAATTCTTTGAATGTTTAATAAAATATTTGAAAATCCGTTTACATAATTCTAATACCCGTATATGATGTTCTGAAGTTATAAGTCTGTATTACTGCTGTTAAAGCTGGTGACATTCAATAAATCTATTACGATTTTCATGAAAATAAGGGTCAGAAAATGAATACGGAGTCCACCAGGTCACTTTTGTTGCTGAGATAAGTCTGTTTCATACAGAATTAAGCTTCAAATATAAAAGTTCGACTTAGAGTTTTAATGTTTTCAAAAATGGTTTGACGTGATATATTTGCTCTTTTTAATAATTTTCTTTTTATTTACAGCATTGTTTTGAAGAATTCAATAGATTTTCCTTCTAAATTTTAGACTATTAGTGTTACTAGGCCTAAAATAATACTAAGGAATATGGTGTAGACATGTTATTGTCATATAAGATATAAGAAAAAGATAATTGAATGACACAAGGAGCAAAATTTTTACTTACAGTATTATTATTATTATTTTATTAATATTTCAGACATATAGAAAATAAATAGTTAGAAAACTAACACTTGTCCGATTTGTTAAATCGATCTATTAACAGAAGCTACATATTTTTGTTTTCTTTTTTTTGATTAATATGGTATTTGAAATGATTACGTCATACGTTGTCAGCCACCACTGACTCCTGAAATGATTTAAACGTATAATACTATAAACATTAAATTTTATGGTTATGACAAGATTTAAAGAACGCTCTTGTCACATATGTATCCTTAAAAAACGAACAAGCTACATGTGGCAATTAATTTTTTTTCTATATTTTATTAAAAGTTAATAAAACTTCAGAAATGTCACACATATTTTATTAAATTGAATGGAGCTATGCTTTATTCTATTTATTTTTAGTTAACCATTAATTGACAATTATAAATTATTCTTATTTAAGGAGTATAAAAATAAAATGTAAAATTATCTACATGTAATCGGTGAATTACAATGTCCAAATCACATAACATGTATACATATCATTCAATTAAGTACAAAGCTCTTAAAGCAATATAAATTGTTTTTTATATGTTCAAAATCAAATATGTTTACGTTAAAAATGTTACTCATGACGTTAAATGTTCAATTGTGTATACTTCATTAGATAAAGGTCATTTAAGTATTTATTAAGATGACAAAAATATCAATAACTTTAAACCCATTCATGTATGAATTTTTATTTAACGATGTTTTAAGAATGTGAATATAAATTGGAACATTTTCTTAGTGTATATGTTCTAAGTACAGTTAATAATGTCCTATTCTTTTACTTTTAAATCAAGTCGTTCCTATGACTTAATTTGAAAAAGCATGCTAATTACCCAGACGACAAAATGACGTTCGACGACAAAACAAAACGACGACTGTGTAGTTTTTGCATTTTTATAAACAAAGTATTTAAATTTCATTAGTCTATAGCATTCGCCTTAATTTTATCTGATTATAGCGACAATAATTAATCTTACATAAGGTACAAAGCATTATTAATAGTCGATTTTCTTATAATAAACATTTTGTTATAGATATTACATAATATTAAAATTTTTGTCGTATTAATTAAATTTGATTTTGCTTATCTACTGTTTTACAATAACTATCAGTCTGTCAACAACAGTAACGCTACACAATTTAACTAATAAATCATTATGTACATTTTTGTAACAATATCAGCATACCTTACCAGTTTTACTCACAGTAAGAAGTAAGTTAGGTTATATGATTGTTAAGTAATAGAGTTAACATAAAGTAGCCGAATTACAATCATTTATACTAACAGCTATATAATGATACACAAAATATTTATAGTTTTGTGCACGATCAAATATAACTAAATTATCTAAAATTTCATTCTAGCTAAAATTTAACAAACTTGTTGCTATTTTATGAAATGGAAAAGGAATTTAACAGTACAATGTAGTCCCAACTAAACTTAATATTCATTACATATTTTTTCTATTTGTTCTTCACATTTTAAATGTAACGAAAATAAAAAAAAAACTTCCAATATCTACATCTATATATTTATGTATAAAACTTGTTAAAAACTTTATAAGCCTTGATTTCGTTGTTGCTATTTCTTAGGTTCAACTGAATAACCAAATCCTTTGTGTTTATTATCAAACGTTGTCATCACATTTGGGAATATGCCACGTGAAACCAATTGGATGTACCGACATTATTACCTCTGGGGACAGGTAAGTATAGGTACGGATAAAGGAAAATGGGATGTTCAAGGAAGAGGTTAGAATATCCGAATCTCCCAACTGAACGTGTCGATATTCAATAAATTGATTTTGAGACTTCTTTACATAATATTACAGATATATTTCAAGACATTACCCATGTGACGCGTTAGTTTATTTATTACCTTTTATAAAAAAATTGAGACTAAGCGCTATTTTCTTCCCCATCATTTCAAATGTATACAATTGTGTACAATATCTTTGGTATATTCATTGGCCTATGTTACATATTTATGCAAATGATACATTTTTTCGCTTGTAAAAATCTTACTTTCACTATAATTCAAAATGCGTAGACATTTGAAAGTACTTATAATATAATAAGACAAATGTAATGTAACCTTTAGCACTTTTTTGGTGTCTTTTCACTAAAGGCGGGTTATGCACTATATGGTCTTAGTCACGATACTACTTTCACTAGGGCTTGAACTGTCCTCATGTCTCTGGTTTTTGAGATCCTGTAACAATAAGAAAGTAATCTTATCGTATATGTTTAGTGAATCACAAACTTTTGAAGAGCTCTCTTGAAGAAACCCTAAATATAAAAAAAGAAACACATTACATTAAGAAATACATATTAAGTTCATATAAATAAACTTCAAAATATTATTAAAGTAGAAAAAGATGGATATATAATAAAATAGCAAACGAAGAAGAAACCGTAAAATGCAAAAAACTTTATCTGGGTCTTTTATTTAAATTCTTAATAACAAACATTTCGATTCAATTCCCATTAAATTATTATATATTTTAAATGATTTTCGATTAAAATAGTTCGTTGAAATGCTGATATTGCTAATAATATCTTATTATCTTTTCCATTTTTTCGGTAAAATAAAAAAGTAAATTCCTCGACAACCGCCAGTATTATTTTAATGTTGCAGAAAATTCTTTCGATATCCATAAAAAGTTCTTACATATCAAAAGAACGTTAATATCCCACATTTATTGGAAGAGGTCGAAAATGAGAACCCTAAGGGAAAATTCGTTGAAACCACTCGCACGGAAAAGGTTCGTTCCTAAGCTCGTAAGAAATAATCTGGTACATTAAAAAAGGAGTCGTATTTTGTTGCCGTTCAGTGCTTTCTTGTGACTTATATATTTCACATTTAAAATAATACGTATGTATTAAAGTATTATCGGTGTGTTTTGCGGTAATATGCTCTATTTGGATTTTGTGTTTCACTTCGTTGGATAAATGTAAACACGAATGGAAACAGTACTCCCGCTTAGATCAATTTTCAGATTTTTTTGTTGACGTAAAAAAGCGATTTTTATTGTTTATCCTTGATAAAACATTCAAAAATTATAAATACAATTTTAAGAGTATATAGTTATGGTCCCGTCATAAAATATAAAAAGCCGGGTTAAACTTTAAATAAAAGTTAAAGTGGGATTGTATAATACACAATTTGTTTTACCTTATATTTTATAACACTTTCTTTTAATACAAACAGATGTTTTATATCAAATACGTAACATATATTTTGAAACATTGAAAGTAGGAGAACAAAAAATTAATAAAAAAACATAACTCATTCAATACCATTAATGAAAAATATTTGAATTAATGTTTAATGAATGGAAAAAAAATAATGAATTCATTTCTTGCCTTACACTAATTATAAAATTTATCTAAATTTTACTCACTCTAGATGTTACATTCCTTTGCACAACAATTTCCAGCCTATCTCCCGCTGCTGCTATCAAAGGCACTGTAAGACAGCAGTCGTAGTCCACTGTTCTTGTGCCGTTCACCTGAAAAATTCATGTATTAAAACAAACTGTTATATATTATGGTTCCTAAGTCTTTATAATTTATTCATATAAATGACTGACTTTAATAAACGAAATAATTTAATATTCACATTAATAATACATTATTTAGTTTTACATTATTACCCTTTAGTATGACTTATAACGGTATTTTAAAAGGTGATTTATTATCAGTACCTGTAAAATTCTGTCGTAGGGTCTCAACAGTCCTACTATATCAGCCGGCCCTCCCTTCCTTATACGATTAATATACACTCCTCTTTCATATAAACCATCGGATACAGAGAATCCGTAGTCATCATAAATTGCGTCCTTATATAAAATTACGTGATGGACAGAACCTCGAGCTGGTGATAAGGTTTCACTTCCATAAATACCTGCGAGAGGAAAATGCTTTAAATCAAATAATTTCAGCAAAAACAATATTACAAAAGCGCAACGACTTATTTGCTACAAGATCAAATGGCAGCTTCAATGTTAACTTTTGTAAAATATTTACTTTAACGGTAAAAGTTGCCTCAGATCAAATTTATTTACTACTATAAACTGTAGTACCAAATAGAGAAGTTTATTTTATATGCATTAATGATTACTTACTCGGTACGTCGTTTTCATAAATAGGACTTGTTGTAAACTGAAAACTGGTGCCGGGAACATTTGGCTTTAATGGTGACTTCTGTGGAGTTGTGACAGTGTAAATACCATTATTCAAGTAATCGCTGTCCCAATTTGGGCGTCTATTTTTTGGTGACACGATACCATAAGGTCCCATTTGTACATAATCACATTTACACGAACTTTTTTCCATATTATGTAACTGACAGTCTTTCATGTTGCTTGTCAGAATTTCAATTTGTTGAACATCGTCTTCTCTCGTTATGTTCTGTTTATTTTTCAAAGTGTTTTCTGGAATGATACATGTATTTTCGTAGTGGAAGGTCTTCAGGGAATTATTGAGTGAATAATTCGGGAGAGGCAAATCGTGCACCGTGTACGGAGTAGTGGAATTGAAACTACAAGCTAAAAGTTTATCCTCATCTGTCGGTGAGTAGGGCTGCTTATCTATTATTCGGCTCTTGTCGGGAACCGCATATTCTATTACTTCGGAATTACCTGTAAAATTGAAAAGTAGAAAAAAAAGGTCTGTGAAATATTTGTAAAAGGTTCGTAGAATTTTTTGTCGGCAAGATTGTTTAAGTATTCATAACTTCAGTAATTGTACATCTCTCTATATTTTTATTTTTGCTTCTTACGTTATAATGGAATATTTTATGAGGTAAAACTTTACATTTGTCTAGGAAAAATAGCAGAATTTTAAGTTTTATGATTTTTTAATAAATGTTTATTTTAAAAGAGATCCAACTTGGTAGGTACTTTTTTTTATTTCTCTTTAATTCTTACCGCAATTAGCACTAACTCTAACTGGCGTATTTTGATCCCACGATTCAACAGCGCTGTCGTTTGAGAGCCCTGGACTAGATGTCGAATGACTGGAATCCCGTACACTAGATTCAGCACACTCAAGAGAACCTACAAGTAACATTTTAAAACATATATTTCAAGCTATCCACTTTGAATGAAACGAATGTAGTTTATAATCACAAATTAGAAACGCGAAGTACAGCCGAAAAATATTAGTTCCATTTAAATGAATACTCGAGAAAATCCTAGATCTCATTTTCCACTTTTATTATTGAAATCATAATGGGTAATATTAAAATTCTCCACTGCACTTCAGCAAATAGAGTATCTTTTATTCGCAATAACTAGCGACTGTTCATTAATCATTAGTTAGAAGTGAAGCAAAGTTGATTATCTATTATCATATCATTGTATAAAGCACATTTTAATGTGTGTTTAATATACGCTAGTAAACTGCTATTAAAATAACAATACACTATCATTACGGCTTATCGAGGAATTCAAGTTACCAGCGCTAATAATTTAATTATCAATATATTAAATTTGATGTATATTTTAATATAATTGCTATCGTAATACATAACTAATTAAAAAATGGTATTAAAAATCTGATTTAAATTTATAGTCAATAATTGATTACTAATTACTAAATAATAAGCAATATATTACTCAAAATATAGTTCTTACCAGTTATTTTTCTACACATTTGTAATTGAACGCGTTTTCCGCTCTGTTGTAATAGTTTAATGGCCTCCGATAATGGTTTATTCAACACGCTTTCTCCATTAATACTCAGTAATTCGTCCCCTACTGACAATTTCCCACATTTTTCAGCTAGTCCACCTGAAAGGAATATCGTTTTGCGGTGACATTTAGTCATAAGCTTATTAAATTATTATCAATAATTTACACATGTATATAGTGATATAACTACATATAAACATTTATTTTAAATTTTAATTCCAATTGAAAAAAATTGTATGTTTTTCTATGATATTTATATTTAATAACAGTCTATTTGTAATAAAATAAAATTGTATCAACCTTCAACCAAACCACTTAATAAAATGGCCTGTGTGACATCTTCACTCCCAGCTATCGTGAGTCCAAGGGGACCGTTTTCTTGTCTTATCAACTCAACCATAAAAACTACAGTTCCATTATCACTACCGTGACTTCTTTCACTATCTTTAGCACTATTGTTGGGACTACCCGTATGGTGACCTGAATCTTCCCCGCTATGAACTACAGCCTTTGTTTCAATGTTACTGAAGCTCTGTAACGTCAATTTTGCGTTATGTTTGTGAATATTGGACCAGTCTTCCGTTAAATCACGCTTTCGTATCTTCAATGTTATTATGTCTTCTGGTGAATTCTGAAGTATGTTGAATGCTGTGTCCTAAAAAAAATACATAAACTAATTAATTTATACCTAATTATCATTCTAAATAATATACTAAATTATAAAGGCTTAAAGTGATAAAATTTATTTAAATCTTAAAATATACTTTATATAAATGTATATGTATTGGTATGTGTGTGTATGTATATGTATCTATATATTTGTGTATATATTATTTATGGATTTCAATAGAAATTTATATGTATATTTTAACTTTTACTGCTACCCTCTTCACGATTTTCTGCTTTGCCTAAAGGTTGACTGGTAGAGAATGCCTTCAGGCATTAAGTCCGCCTTTTGTGTCTACGTGTGTAGTTAGATAATAAAGTTTTTAAATAAATAAAATAAATAAAAAATAAATACTTTATTAAGTTAAATTTAATTAAATTACCAGTGACAGATTATGTAAAGGCTGTCCGTTTATGGCGAGGAGTTGGTCCCCTGGTGCCAAGGCGCCGCTCCGGTGAGCAACAGATCCTGGCTTGATATCTGATATCACCATGGGTTCTTCATTAGTCAGCAACTTCTGTTTGCAGCCTTAAAAAAAATGCAAAAGAACAATCTATTTTCATAGTAACTGAGTAGATAAAATAGTAGTATTCTTTGGTAAAATCGTTGATCTTATCAATAAAAATAAATTCAATTGATCCTTTTTTGAATCAGAATAAAGCTCACGTACTTCTTTGAATTGTTATAAGTGTTTTTTGCTTACAATACATTGAACAATCCACATTATATCATAGTGTTTGTAACAAAAAAAAGCTTATATTTTTATATGACTGATAAGTATAAATTAAATCTATTTTTAATAATATGTAATCAAAACATACTCTGATAATAATTTATAACTGTAATATAAAGGTCTTATTAACATATTTCAATGCACGTAACAATGCATACATAGGGAGTACATCGCATTAATCAAATTATATTATTACAACATATGGTGATATGAATTGATTTGATTTGAATACAAATATAAAAATTTCAAATAAATGAATATTTTAATAAATACCTGTAATTGTAACGCCCAGACCTGCGGATGTTTTGGCAAGTTTAACGTTGAATACTCCACTTGAAGCTTCAATAGCATTGGGCATACTGAATTCAATATTAAGAGTAAGGTATTTAGGATTGTGAGAGTCATTTCTCCTTTGTAATATCTCATTGGCTACATCACAAGTGAGATTTTCGTGACCGTTTATAGACATCACTCTGTCTCTAACTTGTAAGCAGCCGGTTCTAAAATAAAAAAGGGTTATCAAATGAATTTGAACTGGTTTCAATAAATATCAATTTTATAGACAATAGTTTGAGAATATACAGAAATTATTCTTTTCAATTGTTTCAGAGATTTCATAGTTTTGCATATCCCTTCATATATATACTTATTGTAATTATTGTACTTATAATTCCAAAGTGTTTTAAGTAGCATTAAAATAAAGTTTACTTTCAAATAAATAAAAGATTATAACTATAAATAAAGGTGGTCATTACATTGAAACTTATGCCTAATTTATTTGCTATTACATTAAGATTTAAGCTTCCTTTATATTCTTTGGATTATAAATGAAATTAATATTAATAATTTAACCTACTCGTGTTAACTTTACTGCGTAAAAACTATTTTAAGATTTCAACAATATAATTACAACATACAAAATCCTTAAAGTTAACGTTCGTAAACAATTTATTTCGATTTAAATAGCCGTATCTCGTTTCTCCAATTGTCCTAAACATCTGCCACCATAATTTGTTGTTTGAAGATCAAATTCAAAGTTATCTATAGATACCTTAACTATGCACATAGATATTGGTTACCCATTAGCGTTCTACGGACAAATGTATATGTACATTTAAAATAATAATTAACTTATATATATATATATATATATATATATATATATATATATATATATATATGTGTGTGTACACAAGCTCGTCACCTAATTATTGTTAAAATCATAATTAGTAGAGTGATGTTCAAGATATATTAATAAATGTATATATGCAAGTAAACCTCTGAGTAAATATTTTATATCGCCTGAGAATATGTATTTAATTCTCTTATAGAAAGTTATCTATTACTTGTTGTGCTAATTAATAATTATGTTACTCTTGTAACATTACGTACACTATATGGCTGAATTGGTAGAGAAAGTATAAATAATAATAGATAAGGCCACCTTTCAAACATGTTATTTAGTTTATTTATATGCAATAAAAAGAAATTATTACCTAAATAGATAGTTTTATAAAAAATATATATGAAAAGTCAATATTATATAGAAAATAAAATTGAAAGTAAGACAGAAATGGCAGAATAAATAATTGTAGATGGTTGTATGTTAAAAAGGTATTTATAATAATAAATAAGCTGCACTATTACACAGCTCAATAATTATTATAAATATAAAAAAGAATGTTATGCTGTTGTCATAACGAATCTTTAGATAATGCTATGTTTCCTATTAATATTGTTTATAAAATACAACTAGAATACAGATTTTCTAAATAAGAACTGAATGAAAAAACACATTAAAATATCTTGTTATAAAACAACAATATACATTTTCTACCATCTTGAAAAAATCTGAATTAAAAGCAAAAGGTATAACATATAATTCAACTTACCGATACGCTGGTGACTGCGTGGCAACGTGTGAAATAATTAAGACAGCGTTTTCATCATGAACTGCCAAACCGCTTGTTTGTCCTGGAGGCACTTCCAGTTGTATATTCAAAGATTCGCTACGACACATCCCCAAACTCATGTAATTCTGCTGAACATCTGTATCAAAAGAATTAAATTTTCTCTTTTAATAATAGTGTCATACGTAATTAGATTTAATTAAAAATAGTCATCGTGTAATATACCGTAATCTTCTTGTGGACCTAATTTAGGCATTGAGCTCTGTCGATAATTCCATTGCCGATGCTTTTTAGGATTTAGCGTTGATGAACCCGACAGTGAATTATCTATCAAAATATAAGAATAGATATACATTTGAAGTACAAATTATCTAAAATGAGGGTACATGATAGCAAAAGTTCAAATATGACAACATAGTAATTCAAGATTATCGTAAAGAAATAATTTTACAATACTTTAGGTGGTACTTTAAAACCCAGTTTCACCAATCAATGTTTGTTAAATCTAAACATGCTACTTACTAACACACCTTCAAAATTATAAATGTCTGTTAAAATATTTACGTTCCACGACGACAAATTAACAACGCATTATTAAATGTCATATTACATGACCGGCTACCAAATTATTTGTTCTTGTTAGAAGATGAACAAATTGAAACTATAGCGTTTAACGCGACACGTTTGCCACTATGCACCACTTTATACTTTGTATATATTCCTCGATACGTCACTTGTTAGGTAATGCGACCAAATTTTATATATCGTTGGTTGTATACATTTGGCACACAAAAAGCTTTCTTTTCAATTTACTAGGCGTAACCTGTCAAAATCGTGTTGTCAATAAATTGTGTTATGAATATAGACACACATATAGTATTCAAATTTTAAGAGATAAAAAGGAAACTTAATTTGCAACGTCAAAGAAAAGCTGGAGACAAAATCATCATACTTAATGAAATTTTAATTCACTTTATTATTAAGTACAAGGAAATAGTCGAAACTGACAAAACAGATGACGTTACTATGGTTACAAGAAATCAGGGCTGTGATTGGACGATTGAGTTTTGACAATGTATTAACATTCTCTTAGCCATTAGACGGAGCTCTAGATCAGGAATTAATATAAGTAGTTTGTTAAGACATTTAAACGCACATTTGTGCTTGGTGGGACGCTCGATACATCTAACAGACCATCAAACGCATTAACAAGCGACAAGTGACAACTTGTTTAACATTGATTGGTGAAAATGGGTCTAAGCGAATAAAAAGACGATTCATGTATTAAGAAATGTTTTAATAACAAAAAAAAGTTCAAACTTTTGTTTGACACTTATTGGTTACCTCTAGTAAATCTTCCGCCGTGGCTAAGAATGTGTCGTGGGGCAACATGTAATCTTGTAAAACCAGCCTCGCAGTTTTCAAGATAGCACATAACCTCCTCCGCGGTGTAGTTGTTACCATCTATGACGTGATCATCAAATGCTAGGAGCTGATCTCCAGGATGTAATGCCCCACATCTAAACATAATTCGATAATTTAAGTAACAGAAATCAAGTATTAAATAAAGGCTAAGGCCTAATTTCAAATGTTCTAATATATTTATTCACTTTCTTAATAGAAAATCAAAAATGATTTGAGTCAAACACATATTTTTAATAAAGTTATAAATATTGCACTTTATTAGTAGAATGTGCCTGTTAAAAAATATTTTTCTTTGTGTCAAGACTTACCGATCGCTGATACTAGCGGGAAGGATACTGTCTATGTAAATAGCGTTGCTAGTTCCAACTCTCTGATAAGTATCAGATCCAGAACTATAAACATCGTCAGAGTATCTTTGATTGCTTAAGAATAACCCTAAATCCTCATTACACGGTCTCTCGATTTCAATTAGTAGAGGTCCGGTTGCTAATTTAACCGATTCCATTATTGACACATCGTATTCAATTGTAAGACTCGTCACTTGAGGACAATTTTGGAGTATATGATGAACTTCTGACAATGTTTTATTTGTTAAAGAGATCTGTGAAAAGATTTTAAAAACATATTTTTATTTTAACTGATAAACTTTTCCATGTAATGAGATCTTTATGTAATGAGACTTTCGTGAGTATCTATTTGAATGAAACTAATATTTTTCGGATTACCATGAGTATTTTATTATTTAAAAAAACTACATACACCCGAAATTTGGGTTACTTTGCAACAACCGTGATCGCGGGAAGACGACATGTGAATGTCTTTTAAATTAACAAGGCAAACCGCCAAAAATATAAGTTTCATTTTTAAATTTGTTTGAGAATGCGTAGTATTATTTGGTTCAAAACTTACATGATCGACTTTTAAAAGCCTATCGCCAGGTTTAATTCTAGACGTATTATAGGCAGCACCACCTGGCCTAATATGAGTGACAACTAAAGGTAATGCATCTAGAGACCTGCTGTTTAAAACTAAATCAGCACTAGACGATGAATTTTCGGGTAAACCACCTCGTATTGTTACTCCCAAAGAGCCATTTATTTTTTCAACCGGTACCTCTGCTAGCTTGGTTGTAATATAAAGAGAACTCTGTGAAGCTAAAGGCGAATTTTTTTAATAATCTTCAAATAAAATATATACCTAATGAAAGTTTAATTTCACTTAGTCAATTAATAAGTTTCAAATGTAAAAATGGACGAAGTAAAAATTGTAACATAATTTGTACTTTTGAAATAAAACGAAACAAGTGAAAGTCAATAAAGTTGGACACAATTCCTACTCTATGTTCAAAGTAAATGAGAATAAAGAGACCAAAGTGCGTTAACTCGTGTACGTGTTTGTGAGGATTTGTTTCTCGGTTTTTAACTTTTGACTGGATGTTGGCAAAACCTTTTATTTTTTTAATTCGTTTGCCGTCAGTCTCTTTTTTATAAATATATGAAACAGATATTATGATTTAAAATGTAAATATAATATTTATATTAAAATAAAAATCATATTGCTATACGATGTTTTGTTTGGGTTTTGTTGTTGTTAAAACATATACCTTAATAAAATTATTAAATATAAAGTTTGTGGTTGAAATATAAAACTAAACATTCATGAATATTACTGAAAAGTTATAAAATACATACGATTTATCCATAAGCGTATTATATTTTGACTATTGATACTTACCATAGTTTGGCATGTAATATTCTACTTCCAACGATGCCCTTTCTTCCACATTATCTAACAACCTCAGTACTTCATCATTAGTTAATCTTGCTGTTGATATACCATTAACACTACATATTCTGTCACCTGGAGCTAATCGATCCGAATCATTTGCTACCGAGTCTTTCGTGAACCCAACAATTGATGGTACTACGCCTGGCTCGGACCGACCTGGGAACAAAAGAGTACTTGGTAAAATATTGCACTTTAAAATTGTGAAACAAAACTATTGATAGACCTTTAAACATAATCTTCATAAAAAGTTGTAGGTCATAATTTAAAGCATTCAAAATTATACGAACCAAAGAAGACATAAATTGACAATATTAATTTTGATGAGTTTTATATTTAATGTGAAAATGTTACTCAGTATAAAGTATATCTTTTGGAATAGTAATGGTTTAATTTTATCCTCATTTAGTTTATTTTCGTAATGGCAATAATGCTTAGCAAATTAATACACTAACATAATTTATGTAACTATAATTATGGGAACAATTATATTATGTTAGCATAAACTAAGACATCAATTATAAACCAAAGCGAATGCCAGAATGTCTAAATATATAAGGTGTTAATTAATTCCAACCATGAATGGTGGGTGGCAATTAAATTAATTTTATATCTAGTTATACTCCACGTCTAAAACCTTTTTACTATTATCATTTTATCATAAATAAGATGTTGATATTATCATTTAAGTTATTATCAAGAGTTCATCAAAAATTCCTTAAAACATTTGTCAGCTTAAGGAAAAAAAAGTTGCATTGTCTTTATGTATTTCATATATAACATTCAGAAAGCAACATTTTTCTTGTATTATATTTTATTCTTATACATTTTAATATAGATATAAGTTTGTTGATCGTTTCGTCGTATCGGATGCTATTTAAAATTAAGGCAAAACGATTATACTTAGTTTTTAACATAATTAATATAGCATAATTTTGTTTGTATCAGATTTAGGATAAAATGAGTAATTACAGTTTCATAATTAATTACCTTATAAATGAATCGTAATAAGTTGTAAATGAACCGCTTAAATAGCAATTCATTATATTTATATGGAATGAAAAATTATAAATGACGTAATATTGATACAGTTTTTGGTTATAATTGTTGGTTATAATTCCAAATAATATTCAATAGTCCAAGTGAAAAGTATATGATGTAACGTACTGTTTTAAAAGAAAGGACCTTGTTGAAAGAGAGGTGATTTTATAGATTGAATTAGTAATATTTACAAAGAAATACCTCACTATATGTGATTAATTTGAAATATTTAATAAAATGGTTAAAACAGTTACAATATACAAACATTTTCAAACACAATGCACCATTGTAAATTTCAGGCCATATTGTAAATGAAGTTATTACAAAATGTATTCCAAAAAGGATATCTGGTATGTATAACATCATCTTTACCGACCGATATATGGAAGCAATGGCTTGTTTATTATCCATTGCCTGTTATACAAAGGCAATCACTGATATTATGATGCCATAACATTCAGAACTGGCCTTGGATGTGAACCAAATGACTTTGTCGTTGGATGCATGAAGCAGTTTCAACCGCAAACTGCTGCTGTCTGCAAATAAAATGTGGTACCAATGTTGCTTTGTCGAAATGTTTTTCCAAATGTATAGACGTGTAAAGGAAGTGAGAAAAAATACGTCTGTAGGTATTCTATAAATATTTAACTTAAAACAGATCATTGTTTGAATTTCGAAAAATAAGGCTTATATTAGAATTAAACAATTTAAGAAACAATGGTTACATTTCCAAGACATCATATTAAAAACACACTAATTCATTTAGTGCTCACATGAAATATTTTTTTTTATAACTTAATAAGAAATTCAATATTACTTAGGTAGTCTACTTCACACTTTTTGAAAATTTTACTTCCATTCACGTCACGTGCAAAATATCCATATCAATGCTCTTATAATGTAAGATTCTAGAATAGCTCACACAATGGGAAGATAGAGTGCCATTCTGATTTACACAACAAACGGTATCTGACATGCATCTTAAAATATTCAGGTCACTTCCAGTATTTCCATGTGAAACGACGATGCATTGATTGCTGTTCGATTCGAATTATAAGCAGCACAGTTTAAGCAGCAAACTGATAGATTTGACAACAACAAACATGATGTATTATGGAAAAGGAAAATTTTTATTTATAATAGATGTTATATAAAATAAGTGGTTGCTTGAAAATTCCAGATTTGCATAATTTTTTAAGGTATGTTAATTTTATGAATACTTTATTTGAGGTAAATTCCAAACGTAGCCCTTAAATTTCAACCGATTCGTAGAAGCATTGAATAACAAAGAATAAGAGAAGTCGAATAAATATTAGTTCAATTTATACCAAACATGTCAATGGTCAAAGGCCAAAATATAGCCCTAGTTTTAAAGAAAAAACCAACAGACAAGAAAATACTTGAAATTTTATGTTAAAATGCATAAGTGCTAAGCACGTTTTCGCATCGACAGATGCTTTAGAAAAGTTTTTGACCAGAACAGACTTAAGACAAGAATGTAATAAGAAGAAATTACCTCTTGATACAACGAATTACGCACTAAAATTTAAATGAAAAAAGAATAGTGGCTTTAAAATTGTAGCGATATTTCATTCTCAATTCTAAAATAAATACTTGTTCTTTTGTCTACGTTGTTCGTTAAAATACGAGAACTATCTTTAATTCAACAGATCCACTTTGCAGTACCCTTTTGGATCCAAACGACTTTAAAACGCTGGATCCATTTTAGACATCAGTTAAAACTAATAGTTAAACATAGTATATACTAGCTGTTTGTATACTTACATTTATATTTTTTTATTTACATTTACTTCTATATATTCGTTAATTTACATGTCAAAACTATAATCTTATCAGATTTAAAACAACAAATTAAAGTTAAAAGTATGTGATATTAATGTTTTAAAACTAAATAAAAATTGTATCGATACTCCCGGGATATAATATACACCCAATTGAAAAAAATATTATAAATGGATAGACACAAATCTGCGAAGTATTCGTAGTTTATTATTTCACTTATTGTAATATCCCCTTCTGTTTTTTTTCCCTTAATTAGTGCTCTTCAAATCGAAACTCGAAGAAAAACCAATGTTTATCCTATTTTAAACGAAAAAGATTCTGAATTTTACTATGCAAAAGATAGTAGATTAAAGCTTATATAATGAAATAAAATAAACCAACAATAAATTAAAATAAACTGTACACAATGAGCTAGGCTGAATGCCATATTTAGTTAAAATATTGTTAGGTTCATTAGCGAAATTTTCCGTTATTGCAGAACCACTAATTTGATTAAGATAATTACTAATGATCGTATATTATATATGGATGGCTAAAATTTCAAAATTTTAACTATAATGTTTTAAATTATAATAAATAAAGTTTTTTATATAAACGTAATAAGTTCTAATTTATTTAGTTTTCATTATTTCAAGTTTTTGTGTTCTAAATGAATTTAATATTTCATTTCAATAAAAATAAACATAAAATAGCAATTATTAAAGCATTACACTTGTAAACACTGTTATAAAAATTAGTCTTAATCAAGTATTTCTTTTCCTTCGTTTAATCAATTTAATTTAATGCCACGTCGTCTTGAAAATTTACATTTAAAGAATTAGAGTTAAATATTTTAATCCGTAGTCGTACTGTTCCGTACCTAATTCGACGAGAGAACTCTTGAATTAAAGATAACTCATGAAGCACTGTAAGTAATTTATCAAACGACACTAGAATACTTAAATGTAGTATTAAGACCCAGCGTTGTTAACGTTTATTTGAAAATTGTTCCGTCTTTAAATTAAAATGTGTGTTATTCCATATCATACACAAATATGTAAATTATTTACACACGTAAGAATAATAAGTAGTATTCATTCAAATATTTATTTGTTTGTAAAAAAAACATTTTAGAATAATATGTACTTAAAATATCCAAGTACATAGAATATTTTAAATTTTTATTCACTTCTCATTCCAAAATCTCCGCCACTTATCGTTCGTGTGAGCTCTTGCATTATAGATAACAGTTTTCCATTATGATTCATGGTTATGACTTACTTTTAGTTAGATGGAAATTTTTTTTGTACCAATCAATTTAATATTAAATTTTATATCTATATAAAATCATCAAAAAAAATCTAAATCATGTTGATCGCCATTTATAAGTGACGTACAAGACACTATTTAGTTGAATTTATATTGAGGGTCCCTTTAAACAGTAGATGTACATATTTTATAGGCAAATAAACAAATTCATTAATTAATTATTATATAACAATAAAACAAGCATAATGTCAACCCAAAAAGTCCATCAAATAAAATAATGAATGTAAACTTTATTAATATACTAGGTATAATATTTGTTGTTCTTCACTTTATTTACGTATCATTATATTATTTCAATATACTCTCTGTGATAATATGAACTAACTACATGCGAAACAAAACTGACAAATCTTTTCACCGTACATAAACTTTAGTAATTGTCCAAAGCATATGCAATGCAATTTGAATTTTAATGTAGGTATTTCTCTTATTCATTCTACTATTCACGTTATAATTCTAAATACATAATTGTTTTAGGTGAGTTACGGAATTGAAAATGAGTGGAATAATTTCAGAAATCCCACTAACTTGGTCTTTAATTCTAGAGCATGTTTTATTAATTAGTTTAGTTTTAATGAAAGCGGACGTTAAATAGCTCTTTTATTTCCATTTCATAAAAATCCACGCTCTGTCTGGCTATGTACGTGAGTATCGTTCAATGTTATTATAATTTTATTTATATTTAATATATTCATAAGCGTAGCTCTTAAAAATAAATGGAATAAGCAATTTATAAATTAAAATTTAGTCACGATGTAGTGAGTCACTTCGCGTGACCACAATGAGTCAGGGTATGCTTCGCTTCAATCTTACGAGTGAAATACAAGGAAAAACACATTATTTAAATTACTTTTATATGAATGAAAGTTCGCATTGTAAAATCTAATGTTCTCGAAATCAGTTTAAATTTAAAAATCTCAATATATTAAGATTTATAACTAATGTTTTTTTTATTATATCCATATAATTTTTTATTTTTATGGAATTGCATATAGAAAAAACTGAAA